GAAGCTGGTATGGAAGGCATTATGGATCTTCCAAGGGGCTGGTAGGCGGAAGCGGAAGGTGACCTATACTTCAACAAGGATAGACCCGCAGAAGCAAGGTTAAAGATTGGATGGAAGATGGCCGATGTCGAGATTATGGTGTGGATAACTATAGTAATGAGCGACCAAGTGCTTCTGCTGTTGTTGGATGTCCAAGGGGCGCTGGTGTGGCCGATCTTCGAGATGGTGGATGATGGTGATGAAATCGTAAGCCTATTGGATTGTAGCAAGAAATATCTGTTGCTACGGAGTGAGCAAGCTCCATCCACAACAAAGGAAGGATGGTGTGTATTGCCGTCAGTGATATATGGGCAGGTGCAAGTCGTAGTTCTAGATTTGAGTGGTTGGAACAGTGTGCTGTAACTTGTAGATGAATGGTTATGTTGTATGTTCTGTGCATGTTGTTACCCGCATCTTGTTCACGCCTGAAGATCACCAAGTGTTGGTGGCATGACAGTCGTGTCATAGTATTGCTGCTGTAGAATTGTTGTATCCGGTACATGCAGCTTCTGTTGAATGCTGGTCCATGTCTTGGTGTTGTTGTGAGTCGTACCCTCTCGGCATTGTAGTGCTGCGGAATGGAGAGCAGAATCACTAGTAGTAACCCTGTCCACCACACGGCCTGCTAGTCACACGTCCTTGAGTACAACAGCGCATGCGAAGTGCTGCTCAGCATATCCCTTGTGTTCCGAACCATGAGGGTTTGGTACCATAAATGCGGAGTTGGCATGCAAGGTGCCAAGTAGTTTCCCTCAGTGGTTGCTCAAGCAAGGAATCTCTGCTACGTAGATATCCCACAGTAATGGGTTAGGATATCTGGGAACGTTAGGGGTATTCCCAAATAATCCTCTCCCATTTCGAAATAAGCATTGCTCACAGCCAATCCAGTATGACCTTATGCACTTCCAGTTTTAGCACGGAGGCCATCGGTAGGCATCGATGTCTGGGCGCACATATTGGGATGGGTCTTTTGGTGCCATCATGTGTTGTCTCATTCTGTTGCTGTCCTTGAAGTAGCATTGATGTCGAAGACATCTCAACTACTCAACATCAATGTTGAAGTCTGCTCCATTTTGTCAAATAGGGGTGTTGTTGGAGATACGCGGATTCCACTATCCAGAGTGGTGTCGGCGCTCCATTACATGCCTATTTGCTTCCGTGGAGTTGGTGCTAGTGATGGATTGGTTGCGACACAAGTTTTATGACTTTAAGATAAGCCATAGGCCATGAGGACTTGTATACCGGTAGAGTACTGTAGTCCTCCCATCCTCATATAAGCAAATATCTCATGCTCTTGATGGTATGTGATTGCCATGTTGTTCCCTCGCATAGTGGTATCTCCTTCCCACTAGCTGCAAATCAATGTTGTGCCTGACCAGGACTCTACGATCCACTGGAATATAATCCAGCATTATCTCCATTGAGCGGAGAATCATCCATCAGGGTTTGGATATGACTGTTGGAGCGATTCTTCTGCTACGGCGGCGGTGGCGGCGGTTGCGACGATGGCGACGGCGGCAGCTGCTGCAGAGAATTCTCTTAACTCGTAATGGTTGAAGGAGAATCCATCAACTCCCTCTTCTCAGTAGAGTATTCCAGATGGGTGTAACAGGCATAACTACTAGGGACACGTGCATATTGGTACACATGTGTTGCTCTATTGCTGCCGGTGATTATTTCATTTGAGGGTATGAAGATAAATTTGCTTTTCCCCTCAATGTATCAACGGGTAGCGATTCCTGGTATGCTCATCTGTGCCTCCGTTGTACGGTCGGTAGAGCACGTGTTGTATTAGTCCGCATCTCCCTCATTTGTTGACACCTCGTGTTGCTTGGCATTCTCCTGCATCGTCGAAGTTACGCTGATGCTTGTAACGCTTCGGCTTCTGGTAGAATCGCCTCCAATGCATGTGTCATAGGGTTGCTAGTGAACAAGTACTTGCCGGATTTGAATTAATTACTCCTCAATCCGTCAAGCATCGTGGCATACACGGAATGTTTTTCCACGCAGGTCATTAACACCTGGAATCGCGACGCATGATTGGTGTGTCGCCTCGTGAGATCGATGTTGAGACTGCTCCAATCAATCACTTCGGATGGCTGAGATTCTTGATGAAGACAAATCGATCAGCTCCTGTTACGAAGTAGTATCTCGCTAGCCTTGACGAGACGGGTTCACTGCATCGTCGTTGTGTGCGAAATCTGCTCCTTCGCGGCAACTTGAACTTCTCTGCAATCCCATAGGTTGTAGATCAAATTTATGAGTTGAAGTGTCTCATGGATGGAGAACATGTCTTCGCGCAACTTCATTGTTATTTCTGGGTGAAGATCCTCTGTGTTGATGTCGATCCATTTTTTACGAAGATGACTTCGTCAAAATAAATTGATCGTCATCGACACTAGTCAGAAGATGCGTCGATTGTGCAGCCCCTACTTACGAATGTTGTCTCCATGATGATGCTTTCCCATAGTGTTGTTTCCGCTGTATTCGTGCCGTTGATTCTGCACTGAATCCGACGATCCATGTTCTCCTATCAGTTTTATGCTTGCAGCTATTACCAAGTAGGTAATACTCTGGCAGATTTCTAACTCTGCAGATGATCTGGGCGCCAAATTCGAGACCAAATGGAGGAACTCGATTTTGGTTGTCCAGATGATGTGAACGGTGTCGAAGGCAGCTGATTTTTTGTTGTGTGCGTCATTCTCCCTTTGTGCAAAAGTCGCGCTCCATCTCGTCCGTTGAAGCAGAAGTCGATCCAACGGTCCAAACTCCAAGCGATTTGAAGATATTCCTGAGTCGCGTTCAGCAGCTTTCGGTGCCCGTATCGACTCGTTTTCTGCAGCAATTTTCGGTCGTCGATGTCGGCTGTCGAACGATCGGACGCTCCGAATAATTTCGCGGCTTGCGAGGTCCCATTCCCAATCGCGCTGTAGCTCGAGCTCGCTCATTATGATTCCATTTCGCCTCGGTCGATCGGACGGATGTCGTCGGTCGCAGCTCCGCACATTTCGGCGCAACTCCAAGAGTCGTGGCGAACTGCGAACTTCTCGGAATGTCGCAGGGAGTGTTCCGCCAGAACTGACGTGTTCGCTAGGTCAAGGCCGTTTGCCCCTGCAAAAAAATCGGCTCCGTCGATGCAGTCCATCGAAAGGTTGGCGAGGCATCTCGCCTTCGAAGGGGACCCCCGGTGCAACTGCGCGAGGTTAGTCGAAACTTAATATGAAAGAGCATTGTACTTACAGGAATTGAAGTTTTGACTCCATCCTCGGCGTGCTCCTGGGGGCCCAACGGTTAAGTGTTGAACTGAAACCTTGGCTCTGATTACCAAGTGTCACATGATCGAATGAGGTTTGCTCAATGTTGCACTATCAATCAGTACAAGGTGCTTTTATCCTTCCATTGTACATCAAGTAACCAGGTTTATCCTATCCAAAGGGAATAGACCCTTCTAGAAATAGAATCACCTTGCGTATAGCCACGCAAGGCTATTGGCTAAGGGATTACAGCAGGATTACGCTAGATATAGCGCTCCAGTACATCCCGAGCCTGGTCGGTGATAGGATTATAATAACGGGATAATCCAAAGGATAATGAAAAATGAGGAATAGGAAATCAAAAGAGATGAGATAAAGACCAAATGAATCAAAAGAGGGATTAAATAGATATGAAATATGGAAAGGGGAAATTGGTGTAACGGTGTCGTACTCTCACAAGTGGAGTCCTTATCTGCAGAGGCTGGTTGCATTTCAGTGATTTGGCGGGCAGTGTTCGAGTCGTCGATCTTGAGGGATTGTAGTCCATCTTCAAGAGTTGTCATTCTCTGGAGTAATTCTTCGAGGAGTCATGTGGGGACAAATGTCATTGCCGTCAGATTCTGTGTTTGCAGGTGCTTCGGGAGGAGGGCATCCTTTCCCTTGTGATCTTGAGCCTTTGGTCATCTGTGGCAGGAGCGAGTTACCGGCACCACGATTTTAAATTTGAAACGGATCAAGAGTGTCGCGTGTAGAATCCTCATAGGCTCTGTTTTCCATGAAGTGATCCAATATAGTCCATTGGATCTTTATGATTGAAATACAGTAGTGCGCAGTGTTAGAATAGCAGAATGAATAGGGCTAGGAACTAGGAGCTAGGCATAGAATAGTCGAGAGGTTTAAAGCTAGGAGAAAATTGACGAGAGAGAAGAGAAAGGGGTACAAGAAGGGGGGTTGTACCCTCTACAGTAGGATCCAATAATACCTACCAAGCCTACAATCATATATGTAAATATAATTTATAATTTAACACACCCCCTAGGCTTGGTAGCCAAAAGCACACCACGTATACAGCACACTAAGCCACACACCCCCTAAGCCTAGCACCCCCATACTCAGCAGCAGCGACGGCTTCTCCAGATTGGTCAACCCCTCGGCGTGCAAGGCGGCGATGCCACGTGGGATGGGCAGGCGTCCTTGGGGCGTGAGGTGACAGGTGTTGCTGCTGCCAAGCCTCGGAAACGAGCTCAGCCTGCAGCAGCAGCAGCAGCAGCGGCAGCAGTGACCTGCAAGGAGGTGCCATCTGGGCAGGGCGTACCTGTGAGGGAGGAGGCACAAGGTAAAGGCCCAAAGGGTGTGGGGCAGACGGGGAGCAGAGGTAGCGAGTGTGACAGGGAGGGTGTCGGTGGGGGGGGATGGGGAGGGGTATAGCTGAGTGTGAATGGCAGTTTGGGACTCCCCTACAATCTGGTTTTGGGCATCATAGGCTTCAAAGCCAGTGGGCACGTCTCCCAGCCCTCTCATTTCCCCTTCTCATCACCCTCTCCTTGGCCTCTCCTGGCCCTCTCACCCCGCCTCTCCTCAGCCTCTCATCCGCCTCTCCCCGACCTCTCATCCGCCTTCCCTCACCCTCTCCCACACCTCTCCTCGCCCTCGGTTACCCCTCTGCCAGTTGCCCTCTCCCCACCTCCTCTCGCCCTCCGATCTGACATGCGAATCTGACATGGGAATCTGCCTCACGCCTTCCGTCCCCCTCTCCCAGCCATCCTTTCCCCCTCTCCCCGCCATCCTTTCCCCCTCTCCCTGCCATCCTTTCCCCTTCTCCCCACCGTCCTTTCCCCCTCTCCCCGCCATCCTATCCCCCTCTCCCTGCCATCCTTTCCCCCTCTCCTCGCCAACCTTTCCCCCCCTCCCCGCCATCCTTTCCCCCCCTCCCCGCCATCCTTTCCCCCCCTCCCCACCCTCCTTTCCCCCACTCCCGGCCGTCCTTTCCCCCTCTCCCCGCCGTCCTTTCCCCACCTCCCCGCCGTCCTTTCCCCCCTCCCTGCCATCCTTTCCCCCCCTCCCCGCCGTCCTTTCCCCCCTCCCGGCCCTCCTTTCCCCCCCTCCTCGCCATCCTTCCCCCCCTCCCCGCCATCCTTTCCCCCCCTCCCCGCCATCCTTTCCCCCCCTCCCCGCCATCCGTCCCCCTCCTCCCCGCCATCCGTCCCCCTCTCCTCGCCATCCGTCCCCCTCTCCTCGCCATCCTTCCCCCTCTCCTCGCCATCCGTCCCCCTCTCCTCGCCATCCGTCCCCCTCTCCTCGCCATCCGTCCCCCTCTCCTCGCCATCCGTCCCCCTCTCCTCGCCATCCGTCTCCTGTCTCCTCTCTGTCCTCCCTCTCTCCGTAGACGGAGACAAGGAGGTAGAACGGAGTCTGGCCAGCACGAATGAAGAGCGAAGGGTCTGCAGAGGACGGAAAGAACTGCAGGTCAGCTAGTGTAGCATCCAGCGTGTCGTGCCACTCACGGAGCGCCTGTCGCAGGCCGTAGACCGGGCGCCGGAGGAGCCACTAGGTCCTAGGAGGGAAGGTACCAGTGAAGCCCTGCGGTCGGCGAAGGTAGACCTGCTCGTGTAGGCTGCCCTGAAGAAAAGCAGTGGAGAAGTAAAGGGAGTGGAGCTCATAGTCACGCTGTGCTGCTACGTATAGCAGCCCCCGAATAGTAGTCATCTTCGGGGTCGGGGCGAAGGTCTAAAGAAGTCCACCCCCCTCTTGCTAACTGAAGCCTCTAGCCATGTAGCACGCCTTGAACACAGGCGGCTCTCCATGGGGGCGCTTCACCTTGAAGGGCCATCGGCCGTCGACTACGTTCACCCCAGGTGGAGGAACTGCATCGACGTAGGTGATGGTGGATCTCTAAGATGCCATCTCCTGTTACATGGCAGCTATCCACTGAGAGGCCCAGGATCCCGAGGTCGCCTCAGAGTAAGTGCGAGGGGTCGGGATATCAAAGACGTCTGGATCACCCTCAGGGACTAGCTGCATGGAACAGAGATGGGGAGCAGCCTCCCACAGGAAAGCAAGCTCGTACTGCGTGTCCTCTAGGACGTCAGTGCCAAGGGCAGGAGCACCCCCGACGGTCGGAGGACAGACAGGGTCAGAGACCAGAACGGTGGCGTATTCAAGGCGGCGGGTAGAGGCGAAGTCAGCGACTGTAGCGACAAGAGCGTCAAGACTGGAGACAGGAACAGACGGGTCGGTAACGAGGGAGGCAAGGACCCAAAGAACAAGAGGACGAATAGCACGAAGGTAGTCAGACAGAGGGGGAGGCACGAGATTGAGCGACGACGTAGGAGGGGAAGGCAGGAGGGGAGGACGAGACGCGTGGGAACGAAGCAACATAGGGTGAGAACGTGGAACAGGAGAGACAGGACGAACCCGAGAGGGACGGCGAGACCAGACGTGAGACGGAGGCGTCGGCTCAGGAGACAAAGGAGGAGTAACAATAGGGGAACGAGGTGGGAAACTGGCCGGGGACGAGTCCAGCGGAGGAAACACAGGACCGTGGACAGGAAGGGGAGGAGGTGGCAGGGGAGGTGCAGGTGAGCGGTCGAGGGAGGGAAGGCCGAGCAGGCGAAGGGTGGACACCGTCGGCGACTGCTGCTGCTGCTGCTGCTGCTCGACACCGACACCTGGACCACCAGCTGCACCGCGACTACCTCCAGAACACTCCACTCCAGCACCCCAAGAAAGAGCACCCCCAGAGCAAGAACCCTCTCCAGCACCGTTGCCACCCCCGAGCCCGCTGGGACAAGCCACGACAGGAACCCCAAGACTAGCACCCTCCTCAACGCCAGCACCCCCCGAGTCCACGAACGGCTGCGGTTGCTGCGGCGGCGGAGGCGGCGGCAGCTGCGGTGGCAGCGACTTTGACGGTGGAGGAGGAGACACCGAGGGAGAGACAGGTGGCGAGAACTGCATCGCAGGGCCACCAGAGTCAGCCGACTCCTCGACCGGGACAACCGACATGAGGGGAGTGACGTGAGAAACACCAGATGGAGCAGGATGGCGAGGAAGGTGAGCAAGGGCTACCGGGGGAGTGGGGACCAGAAACAGAGGAGGGGAAACCAGGAGACCTTGGTGGGGAAAGAGGTGGTAGAAGGAAACACGCTCGTCAAAAGTGGCATCACGGGAGTGAAAGAAGCGGTGAGACGGCGGGTGGTAAAATTTCCAGCCAGACGAGTCCAGGGGGAAACCGAGGAAGACACAAGGGACAGTGCAGGCAGTGAGCTTGTCCGTGCCAAAGGCACGAACGTGAGCGAGGCAGCCCCAGACGTGAAACGCGGACGGGTCACCAGGGAACCCAGTCCAAAGAAGGGTCGGCGAAACCTGCGGCCGCTGAGAGCGCGGCCAGAGGTTAAGCTGGTGAGCGGCGTAGCGAAAGGCGATCGGCCACAGAAAATGGGGTGCACCGGCATGAATCATGGAGGTACGCGCCACGTCCATGACCAAGCCGATGCGTCGCTCAGCGACCCCATTCTGCTGCGGGGAGTCCGGTAGGGTGTACGACAGGGTGATGCCCTCTGCACGAGACAACTGTCCAAGCCGACCAGAGGCGAACTTGCTGCACGGTCGGAGTGGAGACACAGCATAGGGAGACTGCGGTGGAGACGTGCAGCTACAACCCATGGGATAAGAACGTCAGGCACGTCGGCCTTCCGCTCCAAGGGAAACACCGTGGTGTAGCGCGTGTAGTCGTTAACGAGCACTAGAAAGTAGCGCTTGCGACGTGGTCCGGGGACGGGGGCTGGGCCCAAGACGTCCAGGTGCAGGGTCTGGAGGGATACGGTGGCGGGACAAAGTGAGGAGGAGTGAGGAGCATGGCGCAGCCGGCCCTCAACGCAGGGCATGCACGGCGGCTCAGGCGAGGGAGGCAGGGAAGGAAGCGATGCAGGGAGACCGAGGACGAGACCGTGCTGAGACATGTGACGCAGACGCGAGAGTGTGGGGTGACCTAGGCGGTGGTGCCATAGAAGGGATGAGTGAGTGAGCGACCGACACGAGCAAGCCGCAGCAACCTGGGTAGACGCAGGGCCCGGGGAGGATGTGCCAACCAGGGGGGGAGCAGTGTCCAACGTAAACAGACCCGACACCGGGTCCCGGGGGAACGTCGCAAGGGGGGAACCTGAGGCAGCCTCGATACAGACTGCGTACCGCTCGTGACCAGGAAACGTAGTGGTGACGCCGAGGTCTTGAAGACAGTCGACACCAACTAAGTTCCTGGAGAACGAAGGGATGTGCAGGCTTGTAAGGGAACCCGAGGGGACCGCTAGACAGGGAAGGGTAGTGTAGCTGTGAGCAACGACTGGACCAGAAGAGGGGTCAGCAAGTGCGACAGCGGCAGGCGTGGCAAGCGGCGTGAGTGTGGCGTGGTCGCGGAAGAAGCACGCAGACGCACCGGGGTCAAGGGTGAAGGACAGCGAAGTAGTAGCGGCAAACGAAGGAGGAGTGAGTGTGGAGCCTAGACTAGACAAAGCAAACGGTCCTACGCATGACGGAGCGGGGGTGTCTAGACTACACACAGGTGCTACGCCTAAGCTAGAGAACACAGGGTAATAAGATCCAGACACACTAGAAGCGTCAGCATATAGAGAATGCAAGATAGAACTGATCTGATCCATGTCTAGGTCAAAAAGAGTCACACCATTACGCAGCAGACTGGGCCAATTAGGGAGGTCAGGGGTCGGGCCGAAGCGGCAATGAAAGAGGCCATCAAGGCGGCGGATACAGCGGGCGGTCGGGTGCGTGCGGCGGCACAGAGTGCCACGGAGAGGCTTGGTCTAGAGCTGGTACTGGCAGCCCACAGCACCGAAGCCGCCAGTAGACGCCGAGCTGCGAGGACCGCCACCTCGGCCACCACCTCCAAGGGCTCCCGGTCACCCTAGCGGGAGGCAGGCCCACGGCTGCTGCTGCTGCTGCTGTTGCTAGTGTGGCTGCTGCTGCGACTGCTGCAGCTGCTGCTTCTCCTGGACACCTGCCCCAGGCCCCTCATCAGAACCAGTGTTGCCACCACCACCACCACCACTTCGCCCTCCCTTGGGGCCACAACGGCCCCGACGCTGTCGCTGTTGTTGTGGGAAGGCCGCCACTGGGGTCTTAGTGGCAGGAGAAGCCGTAGCGACGCCCACTCGCTAGCTTGCTGCCTCCTCGCTTGCCAGCTCACCCGCTCTCCCATTCACTAGCGTCCTGCCACCTTTCTCGCCAGCTCGCTCTCTAGCTCGCCAACTCTCCCGCACGCCAGCTTGGTGGCAGCTGCTTGCTGCCAGCTTGCGGCCAGCAGCTCATCACCAGCTCGCCGCCAGCGGCACGCTGCCAGCAGCCTGCCGCCACCAGCTAGCAGCCACTGCCGCTTGCTACTGCTGCCACCAGCCTGCTGCTAACCGCCGCTGCCGCCTGCCTGCCGCTAGCTGCCGCTACTGCCAGCCTCCTCCTGCGTCGAGGGTTGTCTGCTGCTAGCCACCACTACTGCCGGCCTCCCCTTCCTGCCACTACTGCCAGCTTGCCGCTAGCCACCACTACCACTGGCATGCCGCTAGCTGCCGCTGCCACCAGCCTGCCACCCACTGCCTCTGTCGCCGGCCTACCCCTAGCCGCCACTGCCGCCAGCCTCCTGCTCGCTGCCGCCAGCCTGCCACTCACCACCACTGCCGCCGGCCTGCCCCTCGCTCCCACTGCCGCCAGCCTGCCGCTAGCCGCCACTGCTGCCCGCCAGCTATCAGCCAGCTCCTCGCCAGCGACCCACCCACGGTCAGCCTGCCGCCAGTCCACCACCAACACCTAGCCCACTGCCAGTTGCCAGCCATCGGCTCCCAGCCACTAGCGGCCAGCCGCCAGCTGCTAGACCGACGCTACGGGCACAACCGCCACTGCTTCTCCCATAGTTCGTGCTCCTATAGCCCCTAGCACCTCCCACTAGTCTCATCCTCATTTCTGGAGTTCCTTGCCGTCTCCTTCCTCTGGACGCCAAAGGCCGGGCGGTCGACTTTGCTCTCTGGCTTCTCGCTCTACGCAGGCAGCTGGTGAGCCAACACATGGACTGCGAGCTTCTGGAGGCCCACATTACTAGTGAGCTCGTCAAACACCTCCACGCCTTCGAGGAACGCTACAGGCCTACCTGCCCTAAGCCGCCGCAGCAGCAGCAGTAGCAGCAGCCGAAGCAGCCGTCGCAGCAACAGCAGCGGTAGCCACAGCGATGGGGTCCTGGGAGTGTTGGGCACGGTAGAGGCCCTGGAGGTTGGGCCCCGGGGCGGTCACTGCCCTGGGGCCCGCGCGGTTTCTCTGGCATCTCGGGGGCTTGGGGATGAGGGGTTCTAGGTCCCACTGCTATGTGTAGTCTAGGAGCCTCTACTACATGTCGACTAGGCCCCTCC